GAACGCGGCCTCGCTCGCCGCCGCACGCTCGCGCCGCCCCGCCGGCGACCGCCGGCGCGGCGAGGGCGGGGCGCCCGCGGCGAGCGGCGGCGAGGGCAAGGGGTCCGAGGAGGTGCGGGCGGCCGAGGAGAAGGCGGAGTGTGCGCCTGCGTCTGCTGACTCGTCCGGCAGCACCAACTGGGGCGCCCCGCTGCCCGCCTTGGAGGCGAGGGGGCACGGCGTGCACAGCAGGCGTGCGCTGTCGTCTGCATGCAGCCCGCGGCGGGCGGCGCCCTCGGGCGACGTGGGCGGCTGCTTCATGGTGCCTGATCAGGGGGCGTGTTGGACCAAGAGGGCGCCCGCGCGGGCGCGAAGAAAACGGGGCCGCAGCGGGGTATGTCCGCTACCGAAGGGCCACGCCGCTGATTCAAAGTGTGGCGCCACGGGCGCGGCGTGCGCACTATCTTCGACCGTAGACTAGATAGATCTATGTGCGGCCTACGATGCACCACAGATGTCCCTCGCGAAAGTTGGACCTTTCAAGTGTAAAAATCAGCGGCAGGCAAGCGAGCTCTGCAATCCAAGGGGATAGCACGTTTATATAGAAGTAATGAATCGTCTGATACCAAACAAGCAAAGAAGTCACTTCTTCTGGGTTCGCGCCCCAATGCAATTCCGAGGGGCGCCCCTTTGCAGACGGTGACTCCGCCCGATATCAGAGGTATGCTTGAAGACCATAAAATACCCATGAGATCTTTCTCTCACCCCTTGCATCATGCATGTGACCAGGTGGAGGTTGGGAAAAAATTCCATGATGACGCATCGCTCGGCTGGTCATATGATACTGTACCAGCCACCATGGGGACTGCCATGACAATTGCTCCCTTTGTTTGTAACTAACAATTTCCTGCCTTGAAAAATTGAGTCACATGCATGCTCAGCAGCTTCGCAGCCCGGCTTGTGCGCGCTCCAGCATCGGCTGATGCTCGCTCGATCGGTGTTTGACTCAGGCACTCAGCCCTTGAAGCATCACAGCACCACCGGCAGCCTTTGCTGATGCTGATCCGAACTACATCCTGAATGCTTTGACCGCGGTGTCTTGCGGCATCCTGCTAGTGTGCTGCTGATTATGACAATGCTGCATGGCTCATTGTACTCAATATTGCCATGGGTGACAATTGCATGTGAATGGGCCCCATGCCGGGCATAACAACCATACACCACGTATGCATGCGACGCGCGCACTTGAATGTGCCGAATTAACCACTCGTGCGCCGCCGCCACCACTTGACTGGATGGAGCACCACTGTAGGTCCACCCAGGGCATCAAAATCGGCGGGTCAAAGCCGCCCAGGTTGCGCTTGCACACTGATGCATGCGTTTGTAAAGCAGCTCGCGGCACAGCATGGGTTTGGTGACTGCAACACGACACCAGGGCAGATGAGTTGACCAGTGTGTTTCCAACTTCAGCTCAACTGTATAGAGACTGTACTGTACAGAGACACAAGGCCATTGGGTGTGCATGCTAGCGCTGATCAGGCATGACAAACATGCTGGATGCCACATGGGTTGTCCATGTGCGGCGCATGGGCGGCTGGATGTGGCGTGAAAATCCTGATCACAGCATGTCGTCGGCTTCCTTGGTCTTGGCGTCTGGTTTGCGAAGGAGCAGGAGGGGCAAGGAGTTTAGGCAGGCAGGCAGGCAGGCAGGCAGGCAGGCAGGCAGGCAGGCAGGCAGGCAGGCAGGCAGGCAGGCAGGCAGGCGGACGAGCGGGCAGGCAGGGAGGCGGCTCCGCAGCGGCCAAAGCCGCGCATCAGCTGCCAGGGCTTCCGGACGTTGTCCGACGCCCTGCTGGGTCTCATGGGATTAGGATTAGGATTAGGATTGTTACAGCGTCCCGCGGTCGCCCGCTCCTGGAGCCATCCAGGCTCCTGGGATGGTACAGTAAAGCACCAATGTTGTGTGACTGAGGATTTCATGGCACCCTCGAAGCGCATCGTTAGAAGGCGGACCAGAAAGCGCGCCACTTGCAGGGGTTTGGGCGCTGAACGGTGCAGCATGCAACCTCAGCTCCCTCCTACGCCTTTTCCACTGGGTGGCCGACACCGTCAAAAGGCGAAGTTCAAAGCAGCGTTGCTGCAACACGTACTCTATTTATAATCTGAGGTGCGAGGTCTATCCAGCCTTTGTCACTCCCGCAGGGTGGGAAATGAGTGGGCTTGTGGGGACCGGGGGATCGCAACCAACCAATGGCCGCCCCTCACGCAGACATGACTACCTACTGGTGCAACCTGCCACTGGAGATGGTGGATGGTGATGAACTCATACTCAGCCCTGCGGCTAGGCGGAGAGAAGAAATAGTTGCCGAATCCAGCGTGTGCTGGCTACTGGGATGGTATCGCAAGCGGCGCAGCTGATCAGTGGTCCCCACCGGGCCAGTGACCCGTTTGTCGCACCCCTCCTTCCCCTACAGGCGGGCCGATACGATCCGGCAGGTGCAATATAAATAGCGCGTCCACATCTTCTGTTAGGAGCGTTTTGCGTCAGCGGGCCATGGTGCGCTGTGCGATTTGAAGTGGCCCGCGGTTGACCACCTACTACTCAGAACAGTGTCGACGCATGCGTACACCTCTACCGCATTACGTCCATTTGCAGTCACACGGCGCGGAAATGCACCGTCCAAGATGCCGTCCTGAGTAGTAAATTCAACGTTGCAGATCGACAGCGTGATGCAGCAGGCACAGGATGCCGTGAACACCGCGATTGGCAAGCTTATCAGCGAATTTTGCAACCAAGTCGAGCAGGAACGCCAGGCCGCGTAGCTGGCGGCAGTCGAAGCGCGCACTGCTGCAGACGAGGCGCAAGCAGCGTGCGCGGCCGCAATGCAGGCACCAGCAGCAGCGCAGTTTGCGACGATACACCAAACCCTGAGAGAGCTGCGCGCGGGCCTGGCTGAGCTGCGCACGGGCCAGGCCGAGCTGCGCGAGGGCCAGGCCGAGCTGCGCGCGGGCCTGGCTGAGCTGCGCGCTGGCCCAGACGGGCTCGGGGCCCGACTGCTGCAGTTTCGGGGCGAACTGGTGTGCTGCATGCGCAACGCCGTCGTGTGCCGCTACGAGGACGGACCCATCTTGTGGCCGCCCCACCGCGGCGCCGCGATTGCGGCCGAGCTCAACGGCGCGCCGCGCCCCAGCACGCGCGGCGAGCTCGAAGCCGCAGCAACCACCATGATTGACGCTCTACTTGCGGCCTACGGGCTGCCGAATGGCCCCACCAGCGGCGCCGCGGACGCGCGCAGGCGCGCTCTGATGGCGCACATCGGCATCATCCCGTGACGCCATGGCGGTCCACAAAAGCCTGCTGCGCCGGGCCCGCTGCCCACCCACAGCCAAGGTGTCACCCTGTTCAGGAGCTGAGGCCCAGCCCTGCCCTGCCTCGTCCGTAGCAGGCGGCGGTTCAGCGCTACACTGTTCTCCAGAGGCCACAATGTTAGCCTTTGCAGCCTTGGTCATGGCTCGCGTGTTTGCAACTCGTGCTATCCCCTTACCATACATGGCAGTGACTTGAACTTGATGCTTGATGGCAGCAAACCTCTCAAACAACATCAAGATGCTTCAAGCACAAGCGCAAGATCCTCATCATAGCCAAGTCCATGTTGCCATTCTGGAATAGCCAGCTGGCATTTGGCTGGCTATCTCATATATTTGTGTGTGCTGCTCACACCAGTAGGCTTTCTTGGTCATCGAGTTCCCTCTTGTTTCAATCATGTGCGGCACTTGTCCGATTTGCCTGAAGTGACCTCACTTCTCAGGTACATGAGCACCTGTTGTGCAGCATTCCCACCACAGGATGCACACACCCAGCACAGCAGCCTGAGACCACGCGTCATCGGCCTGACGACACACCACGCCTTGAGCTCCATGCTCACTCCAGGAGCGGGCGACCGCGGGACGCTGTAACAATCCTAATCCTGATCACCATGATCCACTCCAATGCCGCGAGCGCCTTCGTGTCCATGTACGCACCCGCCGTTCCGCATCAAGCCGGGCCTCTGCGCAGCAGGTCAGCCCAAGCGTCATGTAATGGCAGCAGCAGCTCGTGTGGTTGGCAGCATCAATCCGGGTTTGTTTTGCGTGCAATGGGTGCGGTGCTGCTGTTTAGACATGTACGTGGCGGCCGTCTGCCCGTGTACGAGCGGTGAGCATATGCCCACGTGCGCATGCATGCGCTGCTGTGATACTACAACCGATAGTGCCCCGCGTGTGGATTGTTCACATGCATGCGTGGGTGCGTGTGATTGTGCACGCACGCTTGTGCATGTGTGTTGTGTCAAACGAACCCACAAGCGACATGTGCCTGGAAAAGTGTCGCATGCACGACCAGTTTGTCTTACCTGATCCTAGCCCTTATGCACAGCAAGAGTTGGGGTATTGCAGTGTGCTTTACGAGAACAGCAGTCGCTGCCAACTCCCTTGCATTTAGTGGGGGTTCAGAGGACAAGGGAGACGCGATATTCCGATGCACAACCACAAAATAGCTGACCTGCAGGCTGATGACAGCAAGCACACACCTATGGGCTTTGTGGTATGCTGCATGCACAGCACAGCCTACTGCTGCACTACGGCCTGGCCCCACCACTGTGGCTTGGCATGCACGGACGCACTTGTTTTGCCTGGTTCGTGCCATGTCACGTTTTAGTAATACCCTGCCCCAGCGATCAAGAGGGCTTGTACAGTATTCTCCCCCCATTGTGCACCTACTGACCAAATATGAGGTCAATTTCAGCGCTTTACGGTTCTTTTTCATCGTTTTCCGAAAGCACCCGCGCACTCGTGTCACCTGCGCACTCGTGATCGCTCCGAAAGCTCTGCCCAGATTGACCTCGATGCCGAATCACGACCATTTACCTCACTGTCGTTGAGTTTACAGTGCAAAAATTGATGTGAGAAATTTTAGCATCGCCGAAACGACTGATAATCATTTTCCGAGATTGCGCAGCGTTCACATTGACGTTCACTGCGCCACAGCACAGCACAGCACAACCTTGATGGGCCTTGCCTCTAGCTGATCTTATCACCCAACGAGTGCTCAAGCGTCTTACGTGCTGCCTATCGAAGTGCAGACCGAGCTGGGTGAACGAAGTCCCGCAGGGAAGACAGCGGCAGCAATTCTTCCCAGCCGATAGCCCGCATGGGACAGTGCTCCTCGAGACCGCAGGTGGAGGACACGCTCCTCACACGGGCCGGCTCGGGCCCTGCGGGCGGCGCTGGCGACGGCAGCGTGCAAACGACACGGTCTGCGACAGACGGCAGCAAGCGCTCGGGCTCCATGTCTCGAGAGGTCACCATGCGGATGGAGCTCATTGGCAAGGTGAAAGCGCGATCACGCTTTAGCCACGTGTAATGTGCTGCAGCGCCACGCGCGCCGGCCTAGCTGTGCGCGCGCTGTCACAGGACAGACTAAATTTCATCACCCCACCCCTCCCTCGCCCCAACTCCCCGCCTGCCGGCCGCGCCACTCGTCTCCCCACCTCGGACCTGCAGGTGCACGCGCTGCAGCAGGAGCTGGCGCTTCTGGGCAGTCCGCTGCTGGCGGTGCCTGAGGCCGCCGAGCTGCTGCTGGACCACCTGCACGCTGATGTCATCGGGTAAGTGACCCCGTGCCCGCCTTCCCCCCAGCTTCACACCCACAGACCCCCTCGAATCCAAGGCTGGGGAGGCGGGGACACAATTGAGCCCAATCGCCCGTCAGTGGTGGGCCGCGTGCCCTGGAAGTCATGGCCGCGCGCGTTAATGCGGCCTCCGCCC